TCTGTATATGGTTTTCCTCTCTTAGCAATCTCTTGACTAACCACAAAACTTGCAATATTAACATTGTTGGAAGATTGCATCCAGTAATTAAATACAGAACTTGATTTTTCTTGACTCTTCTGAAGTTCCTCAACTGCTTTCTTCCTTGCATCACCGACAGGATATTTAGTACTAAATGACACGTGTTTAGTTGTAAAGTGTCTCTCCAAATTTGATTTCTTGTTATGCGCCAATTTTTCCTGACAAATAAGACAGGTTGGAAGGCCATTTAAGTTTTGAATAAATGTGAAAGTCTCCGTCCATTCAACTTTAAATTCACAGTTTTCGTTTTTCATTTTTCTTTGCTTCTTTGTAGCTATGTCAAACAGGGCACCTAAGAAAACGTTTCATTTTATAATAATAAAGCCACCAACACAAAATAATTGCAATTCTTAAATTGATGACAAAAATACCTGTAATATTTTCAGCTGGTTGGAAAAATACAGGTAACTTTATGCTTCGAGTAGGTACTTTTGTCACCTGGGTGTGATTTGCGGACTCAACTAGCACTAACCACTGCACAATGAGACTGCTGACTGACTGGCTCACTCAACTCATGCATGAATTGCACGTGCCTCCCCTGTGCTGCCTATCCTGCGGCCCGCCTGCGCTGCATCTCCCATCGCCTGACTGACCCACACCCCCCACTCCACTTACGAACCACTTCTTCAAAATAGACTCGCCCAGGCCGAAAACCGACTTCTGTGCATGGGCTACAAAGTTTCAATCAAACTGTATGTGCACATTCACATGTGGTATTTTGTGGAAGAGCCACACTCAAGGGGACAAAGAGCCGCATGTGACTCGAGAGCGGCTGTTTGCCGACCACTGGCCTAGAGTAAGCCCTGAAGGAAAGTTTTCATCCTCTCCCTGTTCTCCCATTTTTATTTTTATTTTATTTATTTTTAGAGTGCTGGTGGTTTTTATTTTTTTTTAATCTTTAATTTCTTTATTGGTTAAGGTATTACATATGTGTCTTCATCCCTCCATTAACGCCCCCAAACACACACACACACACTCATGCTCTCATCCCCCTGTTGTCTGTGTCTATTGGTTGGCCTTATATGCATGCATACAAGTCCTTTGGTTGATCTCTCCCCCTTACCCCCATCCTTCCGCTGCAGTTTGACAATCAGTTTGAGGCAGCTCTGCCTCTGTATCTATTATTGTTCAAAAGTTTGTAATGGTCTTTATTATCCATGAATGAGTGAGATCATGTGGTATTTTTCCTTCATTGACTGGCTTATTTCACTTAGCATAATGCTCTCCAGTTCCATCCATGCTGTTGCAAATGGTAAGAGTTCCTTCTTTTTTACAGCAGCATAGTATTCCATTGTGTAGATGTACCACAGTTTTTTAATCCACTCATCTGCTGATGGGCACTTAGGCTGTTTCCAAATCTTAGCTATGGTGAATTGTGCTGCTATGAACATAGGGGTGCATATATCCTTTCTGATTGGTGTTTCTAGCTTCTTGGGATATATTCCTAGAAGTGGGATCACTGGGTCAAATGGGAGTTCATTTTTAGTTTCTTAAGGAAACTCCGTACTGTTCTTCACAGTGGCTGCACCAGTCTGCATGCCCAACAGCAGTGCAAAAGGGTTCCTTTTCCTCCATATCCTCTCCAACACTTGTTGTTTGTTGATTTGTTGATGATAGCCATTCTGACAGGTGTGAGATGATACCGCGTTGTCGTTTTGATTTGCATCTCTCATATAATTAGTGACTTTGAGCATGTTTTCATATGTCTCTTGGCTTTCTGAATGTCCTCTTTTGAAAGGTGTCTATTTAGATCCTTTGCCCATTTTTTGATTGGATTGTTTATCTTCCTTTTGTTAAGTTGTATGAGTTCCCTATAAATTTTGGAGATTAGGCCCTTATCAGATATAATGTTGGCAAATATGTTCTCCCATGTAGTGGGCTTTCTTGTTGTTTTGTTGATGGTTTCTTTTGCTGTGCAGAAACTTTTTATTTTGATGTAGTCCCATTTGTTCATTTTCTCTTTAGTTTCAACTGCCCTAGGAGCTGTATCAGTGAAGAAATTGCTTTGGCATATGTCTGAGATTTTGTTGCCTTTGGATTCTTCTAGAATTTTTATGGTTTCCTGTCGTACATTTAAGTCCTTTATCCATTTTGAGTTTATTCTTGTGTATGGTGTAAGTTGGTGGTCTAGTTTCATTTTCTTGCATATATCTGTCCAATTTTCCCAACACCATTTATTGAAGAGACTATCTTGGCTCCATTGAATGTTCTTTCCTCCTTTGTCAAATATTAATTGAGCATATTGGTTCGGGCCGATTTCTGGGTTCTCTATTCTATTCCATTGATCTATATGCCTGTTCTTGTGCCAGTACCAGGCAGTTTTGAGAACAGTGGCTTTGTAATACATCTTGATATCTGGTATTGAGATCCCACCTATTTTCTTCTTTCTCAGGATTGCTGCAGCTATTCGGGGTCTTTTTTTATTCCAGATGAATTTTTGGAGAGTTCGTTCTAGATCTGTGAAGTATGCCGTTGGTATTTTAATGGGAAGTGCGTTGAATTTATAGATTGCTTTGGGTAGTATGGACATTTTAATGATGTTGATTCTACCAATCCATGAACACGGTATGTTCTTCCATCTGTTTATGTCTTCCTCTATCTCTTTTTTCAACGTCCTGTAGTTTTCTGAGTAGAGCATTAATTTTGTATCCTGCTACATTGCCGAATTCATTTATTAAGTCGAATAATTTTTTGATGGAGTCTTTAGGGTTTTCTATGTACAGTATCATGTCATCTGTGAATAAGGATAGTTTTACTTCTTCTTTTCCAATTTGGATACCTTTTATTTCCTCTTCGTGTCTTATCGCAATGGCTAGTACTTCCAGTACTATGTCAAACCGGAGTGGTGAAAGTGGGCATCCCTGTCTTGTTCTTGTTCTTAGGGGAAATGATTTTAGTTTTTGCCCATTGAGTATGATGTTGGCTGTGGGTTTGTCGTATATGGCTTTTATTATGTTGAGGAATGATCCTTCTATTCCCATCTTTCTGAGAGTTTTTTTTTTAGTCAAAAATGGGTGTTGGAAATTGATCAAATGCCCTTTTTTGCATCAATTGATATGATTATGTGGTTTTTATCTCTCAATTTGTTTATGTGATGTATCACGTTTATTGATTTGTGGATATTGTACCATCTTTGCATCCCTGGGATAAATCCTACTTGGTCATGGTGTATGATCTTTCTGATGTAATGCTGGATCCGATTTGCTAGAATTTTGTTGAGTATTTTGGCATCTATGTTCATGAGGGATATGGGCCTATAATTCTCTTTCATTGTGTTGTCTTTATCTGATTTTGGTATTAGGGGGATGCTGGCTTCATAGAATGAGCTTGGAAGTGTTCCTTCCTCTTGAATTTTTTGGAATCGTCTGGGGAGGATAGGTTTTAGTTTCTCCTTTAATGTTTGGTCAAACTCCCCCGTGAAGCCATCTGGCCCTGGGCCTTTGTTTGCTGGGAGCTTTTTGATGACTGCTTCAATTTATTTCACAGTTATCAGCCTATTGAGATTTTTTGTCTTCCTGATTGAGTTTTGGAAGGTTGTATTTTTCTAGGAATATGTCCATTTCCTCCAGGTTGTCTAGTTTGTTGGAGTAGAGTTGTTCACAGTTTTTAAATAATCCTTTGAATTTCTGTGTGGTCTGTTGTTATTTTGCCTTTTTCATTTCTGATTTTGTTTATTTGGGTTCTCTCTCTTTGCTTCTTGGTGAGCCTGGCTAGAGGTTCATCAATCTTGTTTATCCTTTCAAAGAACCAGCTCTTGGTTTTATTGATCTTTTGTTTTGTTTTGGTCTCTATATCATTTATTTCTGCTCTGATCTTTATTATTTCCTTCCTTCTGCTCTCTCTTGTTGCTTTTCTTGTTGCTCTCTTTCTAATTCTTTGAGTTGTAGAGTTAGATGATTTACTATTTTTTTTCTTGTTTTTTGAGGTAGGCCTGTAGGGCTACAAACTTCCCTCTCAGGACTGCTTTCATTGTATCCCATAGATTTTGGATTGTTGTGTTTTATTGTCATTAGTTTCCAAGATGTTTTTAATTTCTTCTTTGATCTCATTGGTAACCCAATCATTATTTAGTAGCATGCTATTCACCTTTCAAGTGTTTGAGGTTTTTTGATTGTTTTTATTGTAGTTTATTTCTAATATTATGCCCTTGTGGTCTGAGAAGATGCTTGGTATGCTTTCAATCTTCTTGAATTTTGGGAGACTTTGCTTGTGACCCAATATGTGGTCTATTTTTGAAAATGTCCCATGAGCACTTTAGAAGAACGTGTATTCCGGGGCTTTAGGGTGAAATGTTCTGAAGCTGTCAGTTAAGTCCATCTGATCTAGTGAATCATTTAGGATTGCTGTTTCTTTGATGATTTTTTTGTCTAGAGGATTTATCCAGTGATGTCAGTGGTGTGTTTAAGTCCCCTACTATGATTGTATTGTTGTCGATCTCTCCTTTGATATCTTCCAGGAGTTTTTTTTATGTATTTGCGTGCTCCTGCATTGAGTGCATATGTGTTTATCAGGGTTATAGCCTCTTGTTGTATTGATCCCTCTAGTATTATGAAGTGGCTTTCCTTATATCTTGTTATAGCCTTCACTTTGAGGTCTATTTTGTCAGATATAAGTATTGCTACCCCAGGTTTTTTTTTCATTTCCATTTGCCCGAAAGATATTTTTCCATCCCTTCACTTTCAGTCTGTGTGAGCTCCTTGTTTTGAGGTGGGTCTCTTGTAGACAGCAAATATATGGGTCATGGTTTTTTATCATTCAGCCACTCAATGTCTTTTGGTTGGAGCATTTAGTCCATTTACATTTAAAGTTATTATTGAAAGGTACTTGCTTGTAGTTATTTCTATTTTTGTGCCTGTGTTCTTTCTTACCTTTTTATTTCTTCGTTTTACAGCATTCCCTTTAGCATTTCTTGCATTGCTGGCTTGGTAATGATAAACTCCCTAAGCCTTTTTTTTTGTCTGTGAAGCTCCTGATTTTCCCTTCAATTTTGATTGATAGTCTTGCTGGATAGAGTATTCTTGGATTTAGTCCTTCACTCTGCAAAGCTTTGTATATCTCCTTCCATTCCCTTATAGCTTGATGTGTTTCTGTTGAGAAATCATTTGATATTCTGATTGGGGGTCCTTTGTAGGTAACTCTGTGTCTCTCTTTTGCAGCCTTTAAGATTCTCTCTTTGTCTTGAACATTTTCCATTGTTATTATGACCTGTCTTGGTGTGGGTCTTTTGGGGTTCATGTTGCTTGGGACTCTCTGTACTTGTGTAACTTTTTTCTTCCCCTCTGGGAAGTAGTTTTCTGCCATTATTTCTTCAAATAGATTTTCTAATTCTTGCTGCTCTTCTTGTACTTCTGGCAGCCCTATTATGCATATGTTACTTCATTTCATGTTGTGCAAAAGCTCCCTTAGGCTCCCCTCCTGCTTTTTAATTTTTTTCTCCTGTTGCTGTTCAGATTGAGCTTGTTTCTCTACCTTATCTTCTAACTCACTAATTTGGTCCTCTACTTCTTCTAGTCTACTGTTGAAACCTTCCATGGTGTTTTTGACTGTAACTATATCAGTTTTCATTTCTTCCTGATTCTTGCATAGGTTGTTGATTTTCTCATCCATCCAGTGAATGAACTGTACAACCATTACTCTGAATTCTTTTCCTGTCATATTGCATGCTTCAATTTTACTAATTTCCTTTCTTGGCGACTTCTCATTTTCTTTCCTCTGGGGGTTGTGTCGTCTTCTCATTCTGACTATCTCCAGAAGGTTCAAACGTTGAGTTGCGTGGGCCTGGGCAGTGTGCAGTGGGAGTTTTGCCCCACCCTAGTGTCACTGAAGAGCTCCGACACTAAGATATGTGGCTGTCATGGGTTGGTGGGAACCAGGCTCGCTCAGAGTCAGCATTACCAGTGCTCAGTGTGGCCTCCTATGTGCACCTAGAATCGGGGAACACGCCTGCACCGCACTGAAACGGAGACTCCCCTAGCGTGTGTTGAAAATCAGAGCCCCCTAGCTTGTGCCAGGAGTCAGAGTTCCCCAAGAGTCCAGTATCAGAGTCTCTGTTGCTTTGGTGGGCTTGCGCTGAGAATCAGGGTCCCTGTGTGCACATGCACCAAGAATTGGAGTCACTGGCTCTTAGTGTGAATGCACTGGGAATCAGGAATCCCAGGTGCACATGATAAGAAACTGAGTCACCAAAACCGGTTTGGCTCAGTGGGTAGAGCATCGGCCTGCAGACTGAAAGGTCCCAGGTTCGATTCCGGTCAAGGGCATGTACCTTGGTTGTGGGCACATCCCCAGTGGGAGATGTGCAGGAGGCAGCTGATCAATGTTTCTCTCTCATTGATGTTTCTAACTCTCTGTCTCTCTCCCTTCCTCTCTGTGAAAAATCAATAAAATATATTTTTTAAAAAAAGAAACTGAGTCAAGTCACTGGTGCTTAATGCTGCCTCTCACCCAGAGAATCGGGTCCTGGTCAGCTTGGGGGACTGGGTTGCACAGTAGCACTGTGTTGGCATGAGGTTTGCTCCTGTGCTGCAGAAAGCAGACTTCAGTGTGTGCTTGCCCAGAATCAAAGTCAGGTGGCACTGCCGCCTTGCACTTGCTTCGGGTTTGGTCTCCCGATTGCTTTGTAGGGAACAGATTCCCAGTGTCCACGGATTCTTAGGCTAAAATTCCTGCAGTGGGAAAATTCCTGCAGCAAGGGGCTGGTCTATCTGTTACTATGGCGCTGCCCGTGAACCTGAGGGGAGGAGGATGGGCTCTGTTACTCGCAGAAATCTGCGGCCATGATGTCTGTATTCTCGTTGTCTGTGGGTATGCAGCTGTGGTCACAGGTCTCTGTCCCCAGTGGCTACAGGGTCCTGGTTTGTGTCTGAGACCAGACTGGATGGTGCTGAGGCCAGGATCCTAGTCTCAAACAGCTCTGTTTCTCAAGATGGCGTGGTCTCTGTGCTCGCACTGGCAGCCCAGGAGTGTCTGCACAGGGAGCTGGGATCCGCCGTCTAAGACTGCTTGGTTTGGCAGCCCCTTGGAAGACCTGCAGAATCTAACTGTCCCTAGCTCATACACACACACACCACACACTCCTCTATTGCTCCCTCGCTCTCTCACACTCTTTCCCTCCCTACCTTCTTGCCGTCCAGTCGCCATCTTTTTCCCTGTTCTCCCATTTTTAATAGTGAAAAGGCTTTCCTTTCCTTTGAGAACCAGGAGACTTTGCAGGTGATTCTTGTCACCAGGACCACCTTGGTGGCACTTTCCCAGAAAGGAGGCTCTCAAGAAGCCATTTTATAGGAAAAGATCAATGCTGGAAGTGAAAACAGGCATCAGAAACCTAATATGCTCTTTTTTCATGAGGTTATAGTAGCCCCTGAAGGGACAAGTGCTGGTGTCACAGGGACCTTCTGAGAATATTACTTCAGTCCAAGGCTGTGTTTCCCAGTGGAAAATGCCCATCCCACTGCCTCAGTGGTGAATATTCCTGTCTCTTTAAGTTGTCACCCCTAGGCATCCCCTCCCTGGGCTTCCTGCCCTTTGAGTTCTGAGAGGCAGAACACTTCCCCATGTGCTGGGAGGAAGAGCCTGCTGCACTCACAACCAGAGGGCAACAGTAGGTCAGGGCCTTCTGGGCCAGACTCAGAGCCTGTCACTGATTCTGCAGGAAAGGTGAGGGCCAGCAGGGGAAGGGAGCCAGCAGCAAAGTAAGAGCTGTCAGGAATGAAAAGAATTCAGTGCCTATAAGAAGCTCACTGAGTGAACATTCCATTCTAATAGGTACCAGTAAGGGGAGTAGGATGTAGAAGGAGTAACTCCACACTCCCGGGTGTGTAAGGCTGCCTGTCTTTCACACACAGCAGCTTCAGGAGCAGTGGCAAGCATCTCCTCCAGCCTAGATGCCCAGGCTCTTGCTTGAGCTAAGCCCTCTCCTAACCTACTCCCCTAACAAGGAAGGAAGGGGTCTGCTCACTCTCCTGCAGGGATCAAAACATGCTTTAAAAGACAGCAAAGACTCTCCATGTGTATATCCAGTAAGGCAAAGAGATTTCTGAGGACATATAAGTGAGTCTAAACTCAGAACACATTAAAGTGAAAATCCTGTGTATCTGGGCTAAACCGCCTAAAACACTCCACTCTCTTCCAAGTGTCCAGAAAGCAACTTGAAGGAGATGGCAAAGGTCATGACCATAGTCCTCAAACACTTGCCCTACTTGTGCCCTTAAACACTGCCTCCTTAACACAAGCTGGCCAGGACTGTGGGTGGCTGTGCCCTCTGAACTCCCTTCCCTCCTCTGCATGATGAGAGGTTGGACTAGGAAATCTGATCCAGACACTGAGATCAGGCACTGAGTGCATCACAATCATTGGTCGGGGTGCGCAGGTGCTTATATTGTGGAAGTACAGGTATGTGAACCAAAATATCTGAGAAATACACATTTGACAGAATCCCCTAGATAATTCCCAGAGACAGGAGGTTCAGGAAGTCCTGGACTGGGTGGATAGACTCAGTCCCTTGGAGGTGTAGCGTATAAGATCCCACATGTTTCCCATTCCTCTATGACAGTGTGTGTTTGTAACCCCAGATTTCAGCTCTCTGGGCCTGTCCAGGAACTTTCTGAACCCCAGCTTACCCACGGGACTGTCAGTTCCCTGACCCTTCTCATCTCCACTTTGGCCAGGACTCCTTGCATTAGCACAATTCCTGGCCTTTGCATCTGTGGCTCTCTCTCCATTTCTGCTCTGGTGTCAGTCATGGGAGTGTATAGATTTCCATGGGGGTGAACATTATGAAGGCTTTGGGACTTCCTGCAGAAATATGAACGCCTTTAGATTGAGGACCAGGCCAGCCCATCATCTAAGTCCTTTGCCCAGAGACAAGGCAGTCAGCCTTCCTCTCCCTTGGCTTCTCCTTGTGCAGTGCCAACTGGAGAGAACAGTCACCTGTGGTGACCAGGTGGACAACGTGAGGAGGTGGAAATAGAAATGGAAGGTGCAGCACAGACAGGACTCAGACAGCATGTGAGGGAGGCTGGGCCAGTTATAGGCCTGAGGGCACATGGCAGCTGTGCCCAACATCTGCTCCCTGGGGAGCATGTAAGTGGGGGGCTTCGTTGTCCTGAGGCTGGAGGAGCAGACTGAGGACAGACTGCACTGTGCACAGGGACTCGGTGAGCACAGAATGTTTGATTGTGTTAAATACTGACTGATTGGCTAGAGCCACTTTACTTGGAGAAGCCTCAGCTTTGGGGCAGGACGTCAGGAGTTGGAGGGGAGTGTCCCAGTCTCTCCAGGACACTGATCATATTTAGATGCATTGAGACAGGACAGTGATTTGACTCCTGAGAGCAGAGCCAGAGGCTGCAGATCACCTGGGACATAGGGTTCTTCTCCAATTTTCAAAACCAAAACTCCAGTTCTCTTCTTGCTTGTTTCCAATGCCAACCACCCTAAGTGTTTCCCTTGTCCCTGCCAAATTTTCTAGTTCTCATGGTTTTTCAAAGTCTCCCCTGGCTGCTGAATCTCCTGGGAAAACTTAGTATCTACAGCTTTGGTCACTAACATAGAATTACCTGGAAAAATTTAATATCTAAAGCTTTCTCACTCCCATAAATGTTACAATCTCCTGTCTCCCATTTGCATTTGAAATCCTTGAAAATACAAACCCAAAGTCTCCAAACCCTCTCACAGAATCATTACAAATCCAGCCAAGGCCCTTCCAATGTTCTTCCTTTTATTCTGACATTCTGGGGAATCAGGAAGCACTACTGTGTCTGTGTGGTGTCACTGGCTCTTTGGATTTGGCCCAATACATTATAGGTAGTTAAACCTATTTAATGAATGAATGAATGAAATTGTGTTTGGGACTCTTTTCAGTAAGCATGGGAAGACAGAAAAGATGAAGAAAGTGCCTATGAGAAGACGTGCACTGCATACTTGCCCCTTGGTGTGAGCTCTGTAAGGGGAATGGGCAAACTCAGGACTAAACAGAGGACTCTAAACTTGTCTGGAGTGAAACAGTAAGAACCCTGAACGTGCATTTAACTTGGTCTGTACCCCTGCTCAGCTGGGAAATATGAACTTGATTAGCTTACATTTCCATTCCCCAAGTATAAAATGAGGATAATAAACTTACTCTGATCTCCAGGAAAGAGGATGAAGAGGGTATCAGATCATGCAGTAGATGGAGTGTGACTCACCAGCTAGAATGTTAGAGAACCAGGATGGAGGGTTAAACGGGTGTCTTATTAGCAGGCAGCAGGTTTAAGTGGAAGGGGAGTGTGGAGGAGAGAGAGAGGGAGAGAAGGAAGAAGGAAGGAGGTGATCTCATTGAATCCTCTCGACATCTCCAGAAGAAACAACTCAATACACTTAGTCCCATTTTTGAACAAAGTTTCATGTTTAGATTAAGCAACTTCCAAGGTGGCACAGCTGGCTGATGGCAGGACTGTGAGTCAAACCCAGAGTGTCTGGAACTCCAGACAACTCTTCACCCTCAGGCTACTGACCCCTCCTGCCCATCTTCCATGGGCTGGAATCTGGGAGAAGTATGGCAGAGGCCACTGAAGCCTCAAATAGGGACAGCTCTGCAGGGTGTGGACCACCAGGGATAATGGAGGTGAAGTCATGCCTGGAATGATGAAGGGGACTCCCCTAGAGAAAGTCCCTCCAGGTGTTGAGCATCTACAGGTGCACATGGTGAAGCCAGGGTGACAGGGATAGATGGTGAAGATCCTCCTGAGATCAGTAAGGCTTTGGTTGGAAAAGAAGAGTTGAGGCACTGTTGTTCTTTTTCCAAGAGCTCCGGGGTCCAGGCAACCAGGATACATTGCTTTAAGGTTTGAAATCTCACAGATAACTTGTCCTCCAGGTTCCAAAGACACCACACAGGCCCTGCAGGAGCCCCGGCTGAGGCTCATCCTACTGGGGAAGACAGGGGCTGGGAAGAGCGCCACCAGGAACAGCATCCTGGGGCCACAGGTGCTTCCTTTCTAGACTCACAGCCACCTCGGTGACCAGAATCTCTGAGGTGGGGAGTCCCAGGTGGGTCCGGTGCCACATGGAAGTCATGGACACCCTGGACCTTTTTAGCTCCCTAGTCCCCAAGACAGATCCAGGGTGCAAGGAGCAGGGTGTCCATGCCTGGGCCCCAGTCACTATTCCTGGTGACTCAGCTGGGCCTCTTCACTGCGCAGGACCAGCTGGCCATGAGTAAGCTCAAAGGCGTGTTTGGGACAATGTGGTGGCATGCACCATCCTGCTGTTCACACGTCTGGAGGACCTGGGTCAGGACTCTCTGCAGGATTTCATGTGCCACACGGACAACCTTGCAGTGTGGGTTCTGGTGGTAGAGTGCGGGACCAGCGCGTGCGCCTTGGACTGGGTGGCAGGTAGGGACCGGGAGGCCCAGGTGGAGGAGCTGCTAGTGCTGGTGGAGCGCCTGGTGGTGGACCACTTGGGTGCTCCCTACTTCAAGGATATGTAGCGACTGGCGCAGACGGTGGCCTTCTGGAGCCCCGAGGTGCAGCTGAGCTGGATGGCAGAGAGGCTGGAGAGCTGCTCATGGGGTGGTGAGGTCAAGGGCCTATGGCGGCTGGGAAACTGTGCACAGCTGCACTGCTGGGCTTCCTGGTCCTGTGTTGCCAGCTGGAGGCCAGAGGCCATTGTTAGGATCAGTCCTGAGTGACAGAGTGTATATAAGGGCTTGGACCCATCACCTGACAATCACATTCTTCCCTGATGTCTGTGCCTCTGGGGCCCACAGGGTTTCCATGTGTCCCTCACCTGGCAGTAACCTACCAACCCAAAGACAAAAGTCCTTCCCGCTCCCATCTCTCCCCAAACCTGCCCATGGGACCTGGCCCTCCCTGAGCTCTTCTTACTGGAGCCCAACAAGTGTTGCTCTTGCCTGTTTTCTACTGATCTCAGGCTGCTGTCCCACATCCTGGAATCATCTCTGTTTGCCCCAGGGGTCCAAGGGACAGAGCCAACACAAAGCCTCAGTCCAGACCCATTTGTTTCAATTGAATCTGAATTGCATGAACAAATGCCCTAGACATTCATGTTGTGTTAACAGAAATCAATATTTGTAGATGTTCATTCATCTGCCTTATATGGCCATTGAACAAAGACACTGTTCTGTCATTCCTAACCCCTTCTGCAAATCCACGCACCCATGTGCACACACACAGCTCTCACACCTCCTCCGCCACCACACATGCACATTGAAGTAAGTGCCCATAAGATGATAAGACACTGAAACGCTGCCCCTTTGTCTCAGGAAGGGATACCTCCTCCCTGGTCTCCATTCAGACCCCTTAGCAGCTTGAATGTAGAGGCTTCTACAAGTCCAAGAAAATTTTAACCAGAGACTTGAGTCTCTAGGAGCCACTGAGACCTTGGCTCATCTGGCCACCCACACTTGCTCTGTCCCCAGCCTCTCCACCTTCACACACAAACTCAAGCCCACCTCCAATACTGCTGGGTAATTTCAGATCACTTCCTCACAGTATCCTTCACCCGGTGCCTTCACCGACAGAGACTTCCAGGTCACTGATGCCCTTACATCACTAAAGAAACATGTAAAAATGGAAAATTATCTGCAACAGTTGAATGAATATTGGAGCGAGACCCACAAGCCCTGGAAACTATTGGGAACAAGAATGGAACCATCAGTGCCCAATGCTGAGACTTGTTATTTTCTCTGCTGCCAAAGGGTATTGCGGTTCAAGGGTTGTGCACAGATCCCAGCAGAGGCATTGATAGAAATCTTGAGTTTGGGCTTGTCCACTTGTCAATATCCTTTTGCAAGAAAACCCTACCATTGTCACTTTGCTGAGGAAGGAGATGGTCACTGATGAAAATAAATGAGAAAAAATAATAGCAAATGTCTAGTGTTCTGAAATACTTGATTACTGATGTTTGGTTGGGAGGAATGGAGTTCAGAGAGTCCCCAAGGAACATTGATTGAGCTGGTGGAAATCGAGGAAGAGGCACCCAGGATTTCCAGGGGACATGCACACCCCACTATGGCTGTAATCGAGGCCACTGGGGAAGAGAGTATTTTTGCTGTCTACACATCAATGAAAAGAAAGAGATTGGCAGAGCAGATTAAAACTCATGACCCAACCATATGCTGCTTACAGAAAAGTCCTTTTGAATATTATAGTAGAAACAGGCTGAAAATTAAAAAAAAGATGGAAAAGATCAGTGGTGCAAATATTACTCATGTAAAAAGAAGAATGAATGGCTGTATTGATAGCAAATAAATTAGACCTCAGAACAAAGAAAATTACCAGAACAGAGGGGGACATTATATAATGATAAATAGGTGACTCCTCCAAGAAGACAGAGCAATCCTAAATGTGTTTTCCCAAACAACAGAGATGTGAAATATGTGAAGCAGAAACTGACAACTGAAAGGAGAAACAGGTAAATCTCCAATTATAGTTAGAAACTTCACCACCCCCTCAACAATTGACAGAACAGCTACATAGAACCAGGATTAGAAGTATTCCATAACACCCCCAATGAACGGATCTATTGAGTTTTGTAGAAGTTGATATTTGCTGAGGACATATTTTTTTCAGGTGCACATGGAACATATACCAAGAAAGGCCATACCCTGAGCCATAAAAAAACTCACAATGTTTAAGAGAATTGAAATCATATGGACTATGTTCTCAGACCACAATGGAAATGAGCTGGAACTCCTTAATGGAAAGGTAGCAGAAATATTTTCTGCATTGCCCTATCGGCAGTGTCATGAATCCCAATGGTCATCAGAATCTAGAAAAAGGCCTTGATGATGGTCCTACAAGGTCAAAGTCTACCTCTGAATATGGAGTTTTCTGAGCTTGGAAGACACACACCACACTATCACTGAAGGATGGAAATGCAAGGGATAAATGGTCATTTCCCTCGGCTTTTGCTACCCATTGCTGAAGCAAATCTCCCTTGTTGAAAGAGCAGATAATGTTCTCCACCCCAAGTCCATTTCCTGGTCCCAACACTCACTCACCCCCTTTACACTAAGAGGACAGATGACCTTTTCAAGAAGGGACAACTTCAGTCTCTGCTCACCCTTGGACAGCCCTTCCCCATCATTTATGGCATGCTAGCTCTGTGAGCATGATCGGCCTGGTGTAATTTAGCCTCTTTATACAGGTTCTGAGAGCAGCAGCCTGGTCAGGGAAGACATATTCCCAGCTGAGTTGACAATCATCACCACAGAACACTGTCAACACCACCACTGTGACCAGTCTCCTCCTCAGTCCACTCACAGTGGTTTCAGGAGATCTTTAAACAGGAGAGACTGCTGTCTATTTCTGACAAAGGAGGAAACAGGGGCCTAGAAAGAGTAGATAGCACACACCAAGCCACACACTGCCCAGAGATCAGGAAGCAAATCTAAGTCTTAGAGTTCCTCTGTCTCTCAGGAACCTCTTCAGATAAGACTGTGGGAAATGTGGAAATGAAACCACAAGTCAGAGTTGGGTGGGGAGATATCTGAACTAGAAAACCCAGTTTCTCTTCCCTTGTCTGTGCTCAATTTAGGAAAAAAAGAAAATAATTCCAGTATGGAAAGAGAAGTGTTGAAATCTCCAACTGTAAATGTGCATTTGACTATTCCTCCATTTGTTTTTGTCAGAATTTACTTCTTGAATTTTGAAGCTCTCTCTCTCTTTTTTTTGAAGCTCAGTTACTTATGAGGTGAATGAAAATTCAGTATTATTGTCTTATTGATGAATTAACCTATTTATCATTATGAAAAGTCCTTCCTTATCCAGGGTGTAAAGATGGTATTATTCTGAAGCCTGCTTTGTCTGATATTAATACAACCCCTGCAGGTTTCATGTGCCTAATCTGTGCATGGTGTGTACCTTTAATGGTATAACTTTTTGAATTCTTTTCCTTTAACCTGTCTGTGTGCCTATATTTAAAGTGGGATTTGAGTCTTGCTTTTTCAAAATCTAATCTGACTGTCCAATTAGAGCATTAGGATAATTTACATCTAATATGATTATTGATAAAGTTGTGTTTAAATTCATCCTCTTGCTATTTGTTTCAGCTTGTCCCATCTACCTTTTTTTGCCTTTTTTCTGCTTTTTTGTGAATTTTTAAAATTCTGTTTTATTTCAACTCTTGCGTTATTCTATATCTCATTAGATTTTCTTATTCATTGCTCCACAGTTTGCAATATACAACTTTAACTTACCATATTCTATTTCAGCAAATGGTATATAATATCACATATGTTGTAAGGTCTCTTCCCACCTTCTGCATTATTGTCATACATTATATATTTACAGAAAATACAAACTCAACCATATATTATTATTTTGCTTTCAACAATCAATTGGCTTTTGCAGACATTTTTAATTGATAATTTTCAGTTTATCAACCTATTCACGATTTTAGGTGGCTTGATCCTTTGTTGAGGTGCTAGTTGTCACCCTTTTTCATTTTCTACACACCTGACCAATGTCTAAATCAGTCCCGAGCAGCCAGTTATTCAGTGACTTGACATAGTATATTTATAAACGAGTCTTAGCAAATTTTAAAGTATTGAAAAAACACTAAATATATTTTCAGACTACACTGTTATTCAACTAGAAAAGTCACTAACAGGAGAAAAATGGAAAAACTCACAAAAACATGAAAATTAAACAATACACTTTTGAACAACCAATGGATACAAGAAAAAAGTCAGAAAGGAAATAAAAATATTTTCAAATAAATAAAAATGGAAACACACATATAAAAACATGAAATTCAGCAGAAGGAATTCTAAGAGGAAGGGTGTAATGATAGATGCAACATTAAGAACAAAGAAATATCTCAAATAAAAAACTTAACTTTACATTGAGGACTCAGAAGAAAAGAGAACAAACCAACCCACAGTCAGCAGAGGAAGGAAACAGAGATAAGAAAAACAATAGAAAAGATTAAAAAACAAACAAACAAAAAAAAAAACACACCCTAGAAGCTGTATTTTGAAAAGATAATCAAAATGTACAAACATTTAACTAGATTAGAGTTTTCAAATAAAGAAGGCTCAAATAAATAAAATCATAAATGAAAAAGGAGAAATTACAACTGATATAAAAAAATTCATGGATCATAAGAGACTACTGTGAAGAATCATGTGCCAAGAAAAGGATAAACTAGAGGAAATGGATAAAATTCCTAGAAACATAAAACCTACCAAGACTGCATCATAAAGAAACAAAAAATATGAACAGGCAAATAATGAGTAAGGAGACTGAAGCAGGAATAAAACATCTCCTAACAAAGAAAAGCCCACACCAAACAGTTTCACAAGTGAATTTTAGCAAACCTTTGAAGGACAATTATTACCCATCCTTCGCACTCTCTCCCAAAAAGGGCAGAGGAAGGAAAACTTCCAAACTCATTTTATGAGGCCAGAATAACTCTGATATCAAAACCAGACAAGGGCACTACATGAGAAAAAAAAAACTACAGGCCAATCTCCCTGATAAATATAAATGCAAAAACCCTCCACAAAAGATTAGCAAACAGAAATCAAGGGCACATTAAAAGGGATCATAGGCTTCCATCAAGTGGGATTTCAATAAGGGTGAACTTCCTGTTATTAGAGTAAACCTGTACCATGCTATGCTGGATATCATTGTTAGTTAGGACAAGAATCTTAAGGTATGGAAGCTCTTACTAAATGCATCTTGCCAAGTGATTAAATGTAGCACAGTGTTTTGTAGGCATAGCGGGAAGCAAGATGAGCTTAACAGGAACCCAACCCAACCCCACAATTGTAGTCAACTGCAAAGAAGAAATCAATATTTAGATTTGCATCTCATGGATGATTAGTGACTTTGAGCATGTTTTCATATGTCTCCTGGCCTTCTTTATATCTTCTTTCGAAAAGTGTCTATTTAGGTCTGTTGTTTATTTTTTGATTGGGTGACTTATTTTCCTTTTGTTCAGTTGTATGAGTTCCCTGTACATGTTGGAAATTAAACCCTTATTGGTGATAACACTGGCAAATATGTTCTCCCATGCAGTGGGTTTTCTTGTTGTTTTGCTGATGGTTTCTTTTGCTGTGCAAAAGCTTTTTATTTTGATGTAGTCCCATTTGTTTATTTTCCCTTTAGTTTCCATTGCCCTAGGAGCTGTATTGGTGAAGAAATTGCTTTGGCATATGTCTGAGATTTTGCTGCCTGTGGATTCCTCTAGTATTTTTATGGTTTCCTGTCTTATTTTTAAGTCCTTATCCATTTTGAGTTTATTTTTGTGTATGGTGTAAGTTGATATGGAGGCAAGAACAGTATGGAGTTTCCTCAAAAAACAAGAAATGGAACTCCCATTTGACCCAGTGATCCCACGTCTAGGTATGTATCCCAAGAAACTAGAAACACCAATCAGAAAGGATATATGCATCCCTATGTTCATAGCGACACAATTCACCATAGCTAAGATTTGGAAACAGCCTAAGTGCCCATTAGCAGATGAGTGGATTAAAAAACTGTGGTACATCTACACAATGGAATACTACACTCCCAGAAAAAAGATGTTCTTACCATTTGCAACAGCATGGTTGGAACTGGAGCGCATCATGCTAAGCAAAATGAGCCAGTCAGAGAAAGATAAATATCACATGATCTCACTCATTTATGGAATATAATGGACAACATAAACTGATGAACAAAAATAGATTAGGGGAGGGTTGGGGTAAGGGGGAGACATCAACCAAAGGACTTGTATGCTTGCTGATAAGCCACCCAATGGATACAGACAACAGGGGGATGAGGGCATGAGTGGGGGGGAGGGGGTTAGGGGGCAATGGGCCGATAAGGATACATATGTAATACTTTAATCAATAAAGAAAAATAAAACAAAAAAAGAAAAACATCAATGTTTAGTTAACCAGATAGTGTATAAAAGCACTCCTTTTGGGGAGACAGAGCTTTTTCTGTGAATCCTCCATCTCCTTGATGAAGAAAATAAAACTACCGCTCTTAAACCATGTCTTGTGCTTACATAGAGTATCCAAGCATGAAAGCCTTGAGTAACATCAGGAAACTTTAGCCACAAAGTGACTAAGTCCAAGACAGGTTAGAAGATATAGGATCTAAGAGTTGCTGGTGAGTTAACAATAGCTAGTACAGATGTCAACCAAACAAAAGTTTCCTGCTGTGGATAATAAACACTCTTCTTCTTGCAACAAATGAAGAAAATGCTATAGTGCAATGACTAAAATGACCCTTTTATGATGATTTTGGACTTGCAGCCAAACTCTTCTCAAAGTAACGTCTTGCTTGTTGCTTTTTGCTATGTGATCCTAAATTTAAGGCAAAGGTTGGGATGAAGTGTTAAAAAACACCAACTTATTTCCAAAACAGTGGCCTCTAATTTTATATACTTTTCTTGGTGCCCAGATTGGGGGAGCTCAATGTAACTGTTACAGGTGGTGCCAGGATATGTGTGAATAATGGGCACAAGGTTCTGCATTATGGTGGCTTTTCCCTGTAGAAATTTTCAGACAAAGTATTTCCAATGGACTTGGTCACTTATCCAGCAGTTGTTAGTGAGGTGCCCAGCGAGGTACCCATATTGGAACGACCTCTAGAGTCCAGCTCTGAGCAACAAACAAGTGCCTGGTCTCAAGCTGCACCAGAAGCCACCCAGAATGTGAAACCACAAGGGCAAAGTATAAGCCAGTCTCAAACACAGTCACCTAGAAAACAAAGGACAATGAGGCCAAAAGCTGCAAAACAGGAAGCACCGCACAAAACTGCTTTTCTCAGCCAACATCCTGAGACTGTAAACAAAATCAAGAGTGAAAAAGAAAGAGAAAGCAATCAGACAACTGAAATAACAGGCAGCAGAAGGGAAACAGGTAGGAAAACCAGCTGGAGAAAAATTCAAAAGGAGACAGCCCTTTTCCTGCAGCTAGGAGATTTGAATGGAGTCTTTTAAAAGTCCAAGAAAACAAATGGGTACCGGATATAACCACACATGTCTTCTTTTAAATGGGATGGGAGTAACCTGAATGTTTTTTGGCCCAC